GCCGGAGTGGAAGAGTAGGCCTAAATAATCTTCCCATGATATACTCTCTAGAGGTTGTCTTTTAGAGGTCATATAACTCTCACTAGGGGACACCCGTCCGCCAGCATTGTAAAGAGCAATACAATGTAGAGCTGCACCTTTACAATAAAGAACAACAAGACGAAGCGTGTTTGGAATTACAGAAGCCGCTTACAGTTTAATTAGCTCGTGCGTTAATTGCTCATCTTAGCTTCCAAGTGGCGCGAGATAATTTCTAAAAACCCATTTTGCTTTCCTCCCCTGCGAATGGGGAGAAAAAAAGCACCCCCACGGCTTACAGAGATGATGTATCTCGTCTCATCTCACCGCTTCGCATCACGCCCTGTTTCACTCATGAATCGGCACACAGTCGAGTTGCCAACCTTTGCGGGGAAAAAAAAAACCGGGACATATCATGGGAAGAAGAATATCTCCCAATGTCAAAAGGGAGGGGCGGGGGGGGGAACTGCATGTAAATTAATTGTCTTGAGTGGTGTATTATTGCGCAACTGACAAAAACAGGGGGGGGGGGGGGGGGTGGGGGTTAATCTCCCGGGAAGACTTCCACATTCCCTCGCCTGGTATGCAAGAGGTCAGGGGGTTGGATCCCTACCCTGACGCCTGTTTATTTTGACTTTAAATGTTCTCCCCATGATCGCGTGGATTTTTCTCCGGGTCCTCTGATTTTTCCCTCCAGGGTTAGAAACATGCTTTTGGATTATTTAGATTATTTGGCTGCTATAAATTTCCACACGATAAGCCACTTCGTTGAGCTATCATTTGTGGCCAGGTCGCTTCTGAAAAAGAGCTGTGTTGCTGAGTGGGCTTTCCCTCGTAAATTAAAATAGTTTAGTTTTTTGTGTGATTTGCTTAACTTTCTTACACTTTGCACTCCTTTAGCGTTTTGAATTGTTTGTTGTTATAACTTTCTGGCCTGCCTCTATTGAATATCTGTGAAAAAGAGCACTATAGCTCATCAGATTCCTCCAGTATAAATAAAGATTCTGATTCTGAAATACAATGTCAAGTGGCAACCCAAGTACAGAGATGAGATTTGTGGAGATCCAGTCTGTACGTATATCATATAACATGAGTGGTTATCATTGGCTATGTGAAGTCCATGGTTAAAACAGGAAGCAAAACTAATTAAGCTTTCGTGACTGCAGGAATTCATATTCTTTGGATCTTTCGGGAAAGCCACGTAGATAGAAAAATAATAAAAAAATATCACGACGTTTTGATCGCAACACAAGCAATCGTTATCAGGTGAATAGATATGGCGGGAGAGCTGCTGAGGCAGGATGTTATATAGGTTTGAGATGGGTGTAGCCCAAGGGTCATAAGCAAAGTGGGCGGGGCTAGAGATGGAATTTGCATGTCAATGTAAGATCGGAGAGCTGAGCTACCTCCATGACGACGAAGCTGTGCAGGTAGCCATTGTATTTTGAGATATGAGCATGTCAATGTAGGAGAAACGAAAACCACCGCCACATCGAGGAAAAACGAGAAACGGTGGCTGTGTTAGTGAGACATTTAGCCTGTTAATGTAAAGATATTTAACCTGGTAATGTAACTCAGAGTCGAAAATAACTGATAAGCAAAGTGGGCGGGGCTAGAGATGAAATTTGCATGTCAATGTAAGATCAGAGAGCTGAGCTGCCTCCAGGACGACGAAGTTGCGGAGGTGGCCATTGTATTGTGAGAGATTAGCATGGAAATGTAGGGGAAACGAAAACCACCGCCACATCGAGGAAATCGTGCAGCTCTCCTGCTATATTTTTCCTGCCTCAGTAGCTCTCCCGCTATATTTTGTCACCTGATGACGATTGCTTGTGTTGTGATCGCAAACGTCGTGATATATTTTTAATTTTTTTTCTATCTATGTGGCTTTACCGAAAGACCCAAAGAATGTGCATATACTCTTCGTTTTTTTTCGGTAAAGTCACGTAGGTAAAATAAAATAAGTTAAAACAACTAAATTAAATCACGACGTTTCAGAGGCATTACAAGCTTCCGTCTTCAGGTGGAACAGTCACAGCAAAATAGCTCTTCACTTGATACAGCTATTTTGCTGTGGCTGTTCCACCTGAAGACGAAAGCTTGTGTTGCCTCCGAAACGTGATTTAATTTAGTTGTTTTCATTTATTTTATTTTACCTACGTGACTTTACCGAAAAAACGAAAGCTTCAAATTTAGAATATGCATATAGTGTACATATTTACATAACATGTAGTAGTATAATTTTTTTAATCAGATTATAAAATATATGATTATGTCCCAGGGCTTCCTTACGAAAATTTGACGCTACATTCATGAGAAAAAAATACTAGAAAATAATTCCAAGATCACTCCATTAATGTCACTGCTGAGTATGACTCCTAAGTAACGTCGCTAGAGCGCTATTGAACGATTTAAAGTAATGTTTTTAAAAAAAAACATCACCAACTAAGGTTCCAACTCGTGTTAGAGAGCCCTGGACACGTAGCTTAGTTACACATATAGCGACGAGATGAAGAGCCGTTTCCTTATATTTTAAGACCAGCAGAAAGTCGAATCAGAACCTGTCCTTAGTCTCCCCCTAGATCAACTGCGACTTAGATGAGTTTCTGGTGCGGTGTGTAAAGTTCGTCATTGGGTATGCAAAGTCGGTCAGGCGTTGTGCTAGCCACACCATCCCCGTCGGGCACCGTATCTGGTTGAATAGGCACTCGACAGCTCTACATTATACACTGTGTACGGCTATACGGAGGCCATCATCGTCCGATATCCTCATTGTCTGCACATCCCTGCAACAAAAACACAGCAGTAGCATTCTAGTCGTTGCGGAGACGAGAAGTAGAAAACGAAACAATGGCTCATCAGCCGACAGGCTTGCTCGAACAAATACCGGTGAACTTGCCAGCTGTTATTGGCACGGACGTTCCGTTTTATATTTGGGATATAGCAATGATCAGTGCGTTGAATATATCGTAATGAGCCTAGTGTTGTGTAAAGTGAACAGCTTGCAGTGGTGATTGATATCACCTATAGTCTACACGTCCAATACATATAGACAATGGTAACTGAGACAAATTATTATAATGTTCTTCAAGGGCCATGCAGAATGGCGAAATTTTGGCGTATAGTCGAGTCGAAATGCATTCAACTAGAAAGCGCCCCAAAAATAATATATATACACTTTCGAATTCATGCCCCCGAAATATACGGCTCCGGATGAAAGTTGAGTGGTTTCACTCATAGGGCAGGTCAGATTACAAGTGCTGAATCGCGTTAAGTCTCCTGCTAAACACTGACACAGAGACGTCCCCCGTCACCAGTGAACCAATCAATTCCCCCCCCTCCCACCCCCCCCCCCCCCCTCGGAGTGTGACGCTAAAGCCGATTGAATGTGGGCCAAGCCCTCACCCGCTCGCACGCGCGGAGCGGAACGTGACGTGCTCGACGCCCCCGCCCGCCCCCCTTAGCCAGGTTCGATTCCCGAACGTGGTGCACGATAAAAGTGACAATTAGTAGTTGATCCTGAAGTGACGTTCCCCCTAGGTAGAATCGATATAAAACAAGCAGGGCCCATGTAATGCGTTGTCAACATGAACACCTGGGAGACAAACGCGGCCGAGCTGCGCTCAAGCCAAAGCACCGATATTAACAGCGCTTCATATGTGACCCGTGTCGTATTTTTGTGGGTTAATGAGGACATTTATATTTGTGACGGATTAATCCTGTATATGGCCCTACAGGTGCACGCCGTATATGCAGTATGGGTCTACAGGTAGAAGTTTAGTAGTAGTACATGCCAAAATTATGCGGGAAGCACCTTTTAAGAGTGGTTTCTTCAAAAGACGAAATATTCACAGAGGAACCTATTTTTGGTAAACGTAGATTATTTGCTATGAATGCTGCAGGCTCTTACATGATCTCACACAAGACATTAAACATCGAATTACCTAAAAGGGATCAAACGGTCACATTTTGTAAGTAAATATACATTGCTAGCCGTTTGCCTGTCCCAAGGATCTGAAACTTGCAAGCGAAAATCAGACCGCGACGTGATATATTCATTGCATCAATTCGTGTGCAATTTGTAAGGGCGCGGTGACACAGACTTATTTCATTTTAAGATTATAATCCCTTGTGCATCATGACGTCCTTTTTACTTCGATGTCTCAATGTCGTTACGGAGATCACGTGACGTGGGGTTCTGCCTTTGTTGTGAGGGTTGTGAGTTGACGCCGAGGAGGGGGGAGGAGGCGCCCCCCCCCCCCATGTGGAGTGACGTCACCTGCTCGTGATTATTAATGAGGGGGGGTGCTACATGTGGAGTGACGTCACCCGCTCATGATTATTAATGGAGTGGGGGGGCTTCATCTGTTCATGATTATTAATGAGGGGGGGGGGGGTGCTACATGTGGTGTGACGTCACCCGCACATGATTATTAAAGAGGGGGGGAGTCCATGTGGAGGACGTAACCTGTTCATGATTATTAATGAGGGGGGCTGGCCGACGTGGAGTGACGTCACGCGCGGGACACAGACATTCTTGGCTCATTATAGTAGTAAATTACGTGTCGAGGTCTTCCAGACCCGACCACCTTAACAGTGGCGCGTGTTTCAGGACAGCATCCTAATGTTATGGAAAAGGAAATACGATTACATACAGCATTCTTTATTTTCATAACCTTTAAACTGCCCGTCATGTATGTAAGTGCTATGTTGCATATCCGACTCGCTGGGGACTGAGTTTTCAGCGGATATGTGAAAGATGGGTTATGATACACCATGCACAAACTCTGTACTGAACTGGGTGGTTAATTCGTCAGTGCGTATGTTTGACGTTGCACTGGACAGTAATTCCAACAAAACGTACAACGTCTGTGTATATTAATAAAGTAAAAAAAAATAACGAAGTTATTCAACTAGTTTGAAAGAAAAGACACTCACCCGTACCCATGCTGACTAATGTGCCTTTTTTTATTATTCCGCAGATCACGCAGCTGAAAATAGACCACAACCCGTTCGCGAAGGGATTTCGTGACAATTACGACTCGTAAGTTTTGCGATTTGATCTCATTAACAAAAAAAATCATACATGACAATCACATTTTTCATCAAAATCCTACGTAACCACGTAAACATACGCGCTTAACTCACAATGTACGTGTTAATGCATGCATTCAGTTTAAGTGATGGTGACGATAATGATATTAAAAAATATATTCAAGAAACTCGCATTATTTCACTTGATTCATGAAGTGCCCTTCTCTTAGGACTCGCTTTGCTATGATGAGTCGTATACGCTGTATATCACCCCAAAGAGTGTAAGCAATTGTAAACACTGCAACTGTGCTTATGCTATTGGTCTGTAGGTAATAGGTCAAGGTTCGTTGGTTTCTCAATTCGCTTGTCCTGGCGAGGGTCATGGCGGCAGCATGTTGACTAGGGCGGTCCAGACCTCCCTTTCACTTGTGACAGACTCCAGCTCCTCCTGGGGAATTCCCAGGCGTCCCCAGGCCGGCCGAGCGACATAGTCCCGCCAGCAAGTCCTGGGCCGGCCCCGGGGGTCTTCACCCAGCGGGACTTGCCCGGTAGAGTTCCATGGGGAGTCTATCGGGGGGCATCCTTACCAGATTCCCGAACCACCTCAACTGGTTCCTCTCGATCTGGAGGAGCAGCGGATCGACTCTGAGGCTCTCCCGGACTACCGAAATCCTCACCCGGTTACGGAGAGCGAGCCCGGCGACCCTGCGGAGAAACCTCATTTTCGGCCCCTTGTAACCACGATCTCACCCTTTCGGTCATTATCCAAAGCTCATGGCCATAGGTGAGGGTGGCAACGTAGATCGACCTGTAAACCGAGAGCTTTGTTCGAGAACTCAGCTCCCGCTTCACTACCACGGAACGGTACTATTCCCGCAACACTGCGGACGCCGCACCGATCCGCCGGCCGATCTCCCGCTCCCACGTACCATCATCACTCGCGAAAGAGAACCCGAGGTACTTAAACTCCTCTACTAAGGTGACTTAGTTAATATTATTGACTTTACACGTAATTTATATGGAGTTGCCCCTTATGTCAGACGAGTGTTTTGTTCAAAACTAGATTGCAGTAGAGCATTGGATTATTACATCTTATCTGTGGGGAGCTTTGGGCATCGTGCCCCTCAATGCGAGGGGATTTATCTGGACAGTCTCGGGTTTTCTCCCACATGAAACCAAACGCTCGTTCATGGAATTGGACCAAACATCCCAATGTTGCAAGACCCTCATGGACAATACTTTTGATACTAATTTCTGCGTTGCTGGATAAATGAAGGTAATGTTTATTTGGTATAACTAGGTCGCGAATGTGCGACGGTACCCGTCCTCGTGACACCAACACGAAACGATACACTCACACATATAGTATACACTCAATGCGCAGAGGATATACAGAACAGTATACAAGATCGCGTTGCACGCAATGGGGTTGGTGGATCACGTAGGTTAGTTTACCTCCCAGACCCGCTGGGCAGTGGGGGGGGGGGGACAGCTGATGGCAGTACAACAAGCGGCTTCGTCTTTCCGTCTTGTGCACCAGACTTTTTAGCGTTATCCACTCATCTGTGTGGTGTTTCCACGGAGTAATTGGCCTGCCTTCTACATGGAGGACTCTCCTGAAGAGGGAGTGATCAAACATCCACGATGTAGCAGGACCCTGCATGAAAAGAGTGAGGCTTTCCTGGATATAATTACATGAATGATAATTAGCATTCTGTTCATTTACTTTGCGGTTTATAGAAGCGCGAGAAATACGAAAGGGTTGAAGTTGAATCAGAAATACATTCTAAATGTAATGTTTTGGGGGTTTAAGATACAATTTTACAAGCGAGCACACTATGCATTGATTGATTAGTGGTCATGTACAGGGTGATCAATTTATAGATACCTCGCTAAAACAATAGGGAAGGGATATAGGCGGAAAAATATTTCAAAACCTCTACATGTTTTTCACTAATCTCAATGCACGTAATAAAGATGTCAAGCCTTTCCTGATAACACTCGGTCTAACAGAGCCGGTCGTATTTGCTTAGAACATTAAATAAATCAGTGGGGTATCTAAACATGGATCACGCCGTACTGCGCCCGAATATCACAAACGAGGGAACGAAACCATCACCGAAGTCGTTGCTCGCTGCGTGTGGGTTGTGCCTGGTTGTCCCTTGGGGGCTATGTGTGTAGTGGTGCTGGTCACCAACCCCCTCGTGCGCCGTGTCGGCCTCCATAGGCGCTCGCTAGCTAACAGCTCTTGCCCCAGCGCTCTGTGAAGGCTATATGGGGGGTATTTGCCTTTGTTGCGATGAGAGCATTTGCGCAGTGGTTAGCGCACTGCGCTACGAACCCGGGCGACCCGAGTTCCGTTCCCGACCACGGCTAACGTCAGTGGCGAGTAATGACAAACCCGGTTCTGGGATTTCCCCTAGGTTGACTCGGCCTTAAACCATTACCCAGTGCGATGTGAAAACATCAACACTTGATGAAGACAAAGACGACCTGGCGTTGTCCTCTACAAACAGGTGCTCGCTTGCAGCGCTTGTCCGAACAGCCTAAATGTCCATACGGTGGAAGCACTGTATTCGGCTGTGTTGTGTGTGACCGCTGCGAGGTTATGTACATATGCATATATGACTGCGCGCGCGCGTGTGTGTGTGTAGGCTTGCAACTTCGTGAGGTTTTGTGACAGGGGAGTGCTGGTCAACACCAGTGGCGATTATCTGAACCGGTCCAGGGCCTCAAATGAGTACCTGGTGCGGTGTGTTAACATCGCCACTAGAGAGACAAAGGCAGCCGGGCATGGTGTTGGTCACCCCATCCCCTTATGTGCGGTGCCGGCCTTCATAGGTGATCGCTAACTGCACTTGCCCCAACAGTCTGTTAAGGCTTTAGGGTGGGTCTTTGTTTTAATTTAAATGCAGACGTGTGTGCATTTGTGTGTATGTGGGTCTGTAGTCATGTATGCGCATACGTTTATGTATGGCCGTGTATGTGGTGTATGCACGCATGTGCACATATGCGTACATGCGTATGCATGTGTTCGTGTTGTGTGAATGCACATATGTCTCCTGCACGTGCATGATCTCTTTAGTTGCGTGTAAATAGTCGAGTATGCGCATATGTTGCTATGATGTATGTGATCACACGTCTGTGTTATCACATACATATGTGCGAACGTGTGAAAATACATGCGTTTGAACGTGCACGTGTTTGAATATGCCTGTGTCGACACGTGTGTGGTCGTGCAAATTGCAGGTTGTGCATTCGTGTGTACGTGGGTGTGTTTGGTCGTGTCAATGCACACGTTTGCGCGCGCGTTTTTTGAGTTTGTCGTCGACTAAATGCATCGTCGCGTATATGGCCGTGTGTGTGCATGCGTGCGCACCGAGTCATGTATGCATGTGCGTACACGTGGCTGTGCGGACACGTGGCTGTGGGGGTACGCGTTTGTGTCCAATTGTAGTTTGTACCCCGTGTGTACACTTGCACGTACGCGGTCCTGTGTGCGCACGTGTCCGTGTACACGCACGTGTACGCACTTGCATGCACGACTGTGTGCGTGCAAATTACCTAGTGCGCATGGTTGTGTACATACGTGTGTATGTGTGTGTGTGATCATGACACGGGCGAGCGCTCTGCGCTGCAGCCCAGCAACCCGAGTTCGTTCCCGCTCACGGCCAACACCAGTGACGATTAATTATTCTCTGAACCGGTCCTGGGCGTCCCCTAGGTCGACTCAAACGGGTAACCGGTGCGGCGTGTATACATCACCACTGGGGAGACAAAGGCGGTCGGACGAGCCACCCACCCCGTCGTGTACCGTGCCGACCTTCATTTGTGCTCGCTAACAGCACTTGCCCCAAAAGTGAATTTAGGCTATAAGTGGACCTTTGTATTTGCCTTGCACGTGGCAGTATACGGGCGGCTGCATACGTCCACAGCTATATCCGCTCATTATCGCACGCGATTGCAACAGGCGCGCACGAGCGCGTACGCACCTGCGCGCCCCTGGCTCCTTCTTAACACGTGCGCGCGTTCGTGCCCATGCGCAGCATGTACCCGGGGCTGGACGCGGACCGCCTCACGCCGTCACCTCACGACGTCCCGCGGCATCACTCGCTGCTCGGCGGGCCGCGCTACGACAGCAGCTCCCTGCTCGCCGAGCGCTTCGGCTCGTCCGCGTACAGCTCGAAGCTCGCCGCGGCCGCCGCCGCCGGCTTCTCCGACGCCGACCGCGGTGACCTGGGCGGGTGCGGGCCGGCGTCCGTCCAGCGCTGGCTGGTGGGACCGTTCCAGCAAGCGTACGAGGCGGACACTGGCGGCGTGGGATCGGCCGGAGCGAGCAACGGCGCCGGAGTTGGCGTCGGGGTCGGGAGCGGAGCCGGGGGTTCGCTGCAGCTGCCCTACGGGCTCAAGTCGCTCGCGCTGCCGCCCAGCTCCGCGTGCTCGCTCGGCTACTACTCGAGCGACACCGCGGCGGCCGCAGCCGCGGCGGCGGCCGCCAGCGATTGGGGCAAGCCGTGGTCGAGTCGCGCTCCCCATCACCACCACCATCATCACCACCACCACGCGGCCTCTCTGCAGCAGCCGTCGCCTCTGCAGCAGCAGCAGCAGTCGGGTTTGGCGACGGCGCCTTCCGCCGTGATCGCACCCGTGGCAGGTGCGTCGCAGCCTCCGTCAACGTCGTCGACAACGTCGTCTTCGTCGTCGTCATCGGCTGGAGGTGGCTCCATGTTCCAGGAGCTGCAGCAGATCGGCGCGGCCGGGCCCGTGCCAGAGCAGGATCTCAGGGCGGACAAGTTGCTGGAGAGTCCCCCATCCAGCAAGTCGGCAGAGTCCACGGACTCTGGGGTGTTCGAGAGCGGGGTCGGAGGGGTCGGTGGGGGCGGCAAGAAGCGGCGACTCTCAGGGGTAGACGCGGAGTGCGTGGCCGTGGCGAAGGGGGGCCCCACGGGACCCCCCGCCTCGACCGATTTCGACAAGAGTTGTCTGAAGGATGTGGTGTGCTACGGCTACTACGGGGCCGAGTAGCTTCGCGGTGGTCATTTGCAAAGCCGCGAACGCGACGGCACAACGATGACATTGTATACAACACAAACACACACACACACATGTACAAGTACATACAAATGTATACAACAACAAAAGTAACGAACTGTGTTAGGAATAGTACACAAGCACAAACATAGATATATTAAAGATAAAATCACCGCATTCGACATTCGCGCCCTTAAATAATGGATCTAACACTCTTACATGAGAAACATATAGAATGGTCCCGTTCTGAACAAGGGTAATTTCCTGAAACGTCGGTATTATATTTTGTTTGTCCAGCCAGTTAATTTGTTTCTATTGTAAGGCAGTGTTAATGACAAATGCAGTGGTGTTTTTTGCCGGATTTCCGCGCATATACATACATACACACACTCATTCTCAGTGTTGATGGGTGGCCTCATTCGTGTTACACGGCCTATGCTGATTGTACGATGTCTCGTTGTGTTTACAAATTGATCTCTCTTCATATATATAGTACATTGTGGCAGTATTACTTTAGGTCGTTTCAAAGACGTGCTCGATTTATATATACAGTATACGGTATATACACACACGTATGATTTCTGTGAGTTTTGCAAAAGATGAGACCGATTTCTCCTAATAATACGGGCATTTGATTTCATGATTTTATTACTAGATTGTGTTTAAAGCAAACGATATATCGATTTGAAAGCGGGTGCAGTTTAATGTAAAATCGTCAACATCCTTTAGAGTAATTACCCATGAAGTTTTCTGGAGAAATGCGCTAAAATATACCGGACACTTGTAACACTAAGTGGGCAATTCGTTAAAATAAGAAATCGTCTTTAAGCCTTATGTTACTAAATACATCGGCTCCTTCCTATTTTACAGCTTCGGCAGTAAGCAGCTCTTATAAGACGACTACGGGGTTTTGCAAGAGACGGGAAATCACTTTAAGAACATCAACATTCGATTATAAAAATAATAATTATGAAATGATAACTCGCATCCCGATGGCAATCCATTGCTGGATGAAGGCCTTTCGTCGGTAGGTTGCTTGACCATACTTCACCACGTTGGTCAGTACCGGTTGGTGAAAGGTAGATAGCCTAAGACAGGTTCTGATACCACATAGCGCTTTTCCACTGTAGCTCCACTCCACTCCGATTATTTATACCTCGGCCTATTTGTCACGTATACCGATAGGTGACCTTGCCGACAAACAAAAAAACGCACACAGCCGCCGAGGTTTGTAAACTGTTGCTTTGTATTCGTGGCTGTGTGCATAGTTACACTTAATTTAAAACTCAATTGCGTGAGCGGTAGCTCGAAAGACACCCGCTTATCATAACCACGAATGTGATATTTATTCCCTTACAAATGTGACTGGATGCGTGCACAGTATACACATGTACGTATATATACTACACGTGGATCTCACAACCGCGAGTGCAGGAGCATGGACTCAAAATCAAACCTGAAAATCCAAGACATTTATATCTCTCTATTCTCTTTTCAATGGTGAAAACGCGTTCGTTGTTTATTTTGCCTGTAATTATGTCGAATTCTGTTATTTTAAAATGCACTTTATTTTCGCACTGTTACCGCCCGCCCCATAATAAGAGTAACGTGTGCGACCAATAGCTAAATAAAACGATCGGACTGTGCACAGCCCAAATAGTAAAGCGGTAGAGGACGTTCGCCACTTGTGCAGGCCGTTCGTCAGGTCCACATTTATAAAAAAATATATCTAAAATTAGCCGTCAATTACTCAATTGAGATTACCGGTAGACATACCAAACATCCAAACCACTACTGGTAAACCAATGCCCCAGTTGACTCTTGATAATTAGACGTATCCTGGTCTTTTGATTTTCACCTGGTTAAACAAGATACACTTGAAACTTGAGTATCGGCTAGAGGCTGACTGGCTGCAACACTTGATAGGTTTATGTCATCTCCTTTTTGTTATAATAGGGGTAGGCTGTAAACTGCAGTCAATGCACCACGGGGCTTCGACAGCCCCTAATCACGCGTCGTCTATTTCCAACCACATATTTAGCATATACAGTACAACACGTGCACGCTCATGTACAGCCCTCATGTCAATACACTGCTGGATGAGACTTCCCAAGCGTGTGCGGATCACGTGATATATTGGAGGGTCTAAAATCATTTCTAAAATAAGTTCTAAATGAGCTTAAGCGGAACTTTTCTCTATAACCTGTAGCATATTCAATGTTGCTAAGCTGAGCTCGTCGAAGCTCTATCATTGGTTGCACATACACACCCGGCTGTACGCGTGTGTGTGTGCGCATGTGTGTGTGTTAGTGTGCATGCAAGCATGCCAGATATATGCTATTTTCAGGGTTATATCGGCGCATATCACCTAATAGCAGCAGCAGTGTTACATTTGAGAAATTAGGCTTATTGCTGTCAAAGTGCGCCAATTTAGTTCGCGAGCATCATATTTCCGTAGCCTCTATAAAGCGTGATTAACACAAACATCGTAAAGGAACAGTATGTGTGCGCGTGTCGCACATTTGAAATCATCTACTCCAATGTTAACACACGCACGGTACATAAGGCGTCGTGAGGATAGCACGCGTTCAGCGAGCGCTGTTCGGTGCTGCGCCGATGTTTTCGCTGAGCGTATCATCAACATTCGGCACGTGTACAAGTATACAACACATATAATACCGCTACGGTGACTCGTAAAATAATAGTACTCATAACAATACTCAGTCATCATCTTCGTCGTCATCAGCAGCCACGATACATCGTCCCACGTGTGGATTATTCTGCGATGCAACGATCCACTTAGCACCTACCTGAATACGTGCTGATTTAATCGCTCCATCTCCTCCATGCTCTCGGACGCGTTCCATCCCTTTGGCTTCCTGCCACCGTCATTTTCTTGAACATTGAAATACAATAACGATGACAGATGGTCGAGAAAAACTACGGAGTGGCAAGCCAAGGGATGGAACGTGTCTGCTTATTGTCTCAATAATGCTGAGTAGAAACTGCGTCCCGTCGTGATGTTTGTTTTGCCATATTGGAAATAATTCGTGACGAAAAGAAACAACACTAAAATAGTTTGGCAATTGTCCGTTATAGTTCCATGTAAGTGTATGTATGAATATATGCATTTGCGTTGAATCATAATGTAATCAATGAGACGGTAATGGAACTACAGCGCTGGATAGAGAACCTGACAATGTCAACTACTGTACATCTACAATATAATTTGGAATTATATATAGTGTCTGAATGGGGTCGCATCTCAAGACGATATACAGGGACGGCGGGGGAGGGGTGGGAGATTTATTCTATAAAGAGCAAGAGGCGATCAGTCAAAAGGTTTGTTTTGGAGCCTGGACTTGAACAGAGGTAGGTAAAGGAGTCAACAAGACGGATGGCTTTGGAGGTTAAGCATCGTTCGGACTTTTATAGTTCCTAAATTGTGTCACGCGACAGAGCGGTGCGATCCATGATTTCATCGCCATATCTAACAATACGCACGCGTTCCTCCCATTGCAATTTTCGTAACCGTGGAATGGCCCATCACGGCGATAATGGATGGGTTGCGGTATTTGGAGTTGTTACGCCCATTGTTGGCACCGTTGACATCGGGGCAGGTTTCCACCAGAAATGAAGCCATGCGCCAACAACACGTTAGATGTGCCTGACACCCTCGAAATCACTGTACACCCCACGTAGTGTGTGGGCGCAATATACAGGGTGTGCCATTCAAGGACGGAGTATGGTGACTGCAACAAGCCCGTTCCTCTTTAACGCCGTGAATCTTGCATGTCACATGTTCGCGTGTAAAGTCATAGAGCGCTTATAATAAAGAAAAAGTACATACAAGGCAGGCACAAAGATGCCCGCAGAGCCGCCGGACAAGCTGTTGTCTCTCAAGTGCCGATGGTTACAACATGGCACAGGTTACTCGTGCAAGGCTGGGTCGACCCAGGGGAGGTCCAAAACAGGTTCACGTATTACTCACCTTTTGATGTGTTAACCACGGGCAGGCGTTGAAACCACGTCGCCGGTGCTTGTAGCACAGTGCGCTAACTAACGCACGACCGCTCCCCAAACAGACACACATGGAGCAACGACACGAAGGGTCCCCATGTAATCTTGTAGACTGTTGGGGGCATGGACCTATTAAGACAGGTTCGGTATACCAGAAGATGTTGGGGCCTACAACCACGCTCGGCCACTGTTGCCGTCTGATGTTCACGCTGCACTGGCTGCTCATTTTAAACCACACACACAAATACGCACGGGCCATATACACGCGTCTTACCGAGTCTACAGAGCGCAGAACGCCACTCCGAACCACGTCGTGAGCTGCGAGGTTTAAGTGATCACGCAGGTTGAAAGTCACGATTTAGACTGCTCGAAAAATGCATCGCGGGCTTGCGCAGGACACGCCGATGGAAGGGACGATGGCCAATGGTCAAGAATAGTGACTGAGTTGCAGCCATGGAATGGAACGCGTCCGTGAAGAGCGCGTCCACGGAGGGAGATGGAGCGATCACATCATCTCGTTGTGTGGATGCTGGGTGGATTGGGGCATCGCGAGATCGCGGTATATGGCGGCGGCTTGGAGCGGGCTTCATTCAGCAGTGGATTGATCGTGGCGGATTTCTATATGATGTAAATTGTGTCTCAGTCCAGATGCATCTCACGAATACTGGTGTTTCTGACGTAGCACGTGCGTATGACTGGAAATCACCGACAATTGGGAGGGTATACACAACCATATAGTCGTGAACTGTAATGATTACATTATAGAAGACGGTCCAATGCAGGTGGAAATAGGTTGGGTATTCAGCCGAGACTTCAACTGGAGCAGGGAATCGGCAGCACGGATTACAGGGTGGTGGGTGGGTGGTGGGTGGGTGGGTGTAATTCCAGGCAGTAGAAGTGGCAGCTGAGAAGGAGCGACCTCCCATTGAGCGGGCGCCAACTGTTCTCCAGTAAATGCAATCAGAATAGCGCCCTTGTTTTATACAAGGGGGCCGCCCTGGAGAGCCCCTCTACAGCTGCTATTGCGAATAGCGTTGTACGTCATAACAAGTGCAGGCAGCTATAGAAGACGTCCGCATGTGCGACAGGCGGCCAGGGGTGACTTGGGATTCTCATTTTATAATTTTCTTTTCGGTTGGTTTTGTTTGCCATGGCGTATATGTTTGTTAGTATTCTCATTAATTGCTTACGCGCTTTTACATTACACTAGCAATTGTTTCGAACTGTGTAATAGTATAACGAGCGGTATGCTGTGTACATAACGTTAAATGCAGTATTGCAATGTTACAATACCAATATACAATACCATATCGGAGTATTTATATCAAGTATAGCGTAATGATGTTGCGAGCGCTTTGATGGCTGTATTATTAAAGGTTATATAGTGCCACCAATTCTGCATGCGTCCACGTGTTGTGTTTCTGCTCAGAACCTTTGGTTAATCCATTGCTGGATGAAGGCCTCCCCACGCCGTATCGGTCATTGGAGTTAGTGTTTGACCACGCTTGATTGTGCTGCGTGGTTGGTGAAGTGAGGCAGAATTGGTTCCAGATACCACTCGCCACTGATGTGAGCCGTGGCGGGGAATTTAATTCGAATGGCCGCGCTTCCCGTTATATGTATTTATACCAAACATGTATTTCAAGTCACAGGATTCAGTTTTATACTCATCTAAAGAGCCTCCGCACCATACTCGACCAGAATATGTCGTTTGATCACCACGTGCAGAATAGAGTCAGAGCATGCAATTTTCATATCAGGGCTCTTCGACACATTCGACCACTATTGAGTCGTGACATAACCAACACGGTGGCCTGTAGCAGAGTATCGACAAGGCTCTATTATTGCAACTCACCACTCTACGGGACGTCTGGCAAAAACATCACCAAACTGCAGCGTGTACAAAATTATTTAGCACGTGGCCTGATAGGTACCGCAAGGTCCGAACATGTCCGTCCAGTGCTGGCCGAGCTGCATTGGCTTCCGTTTGCCGAACGAACCACAACATTCTCTCTAGGGTGTCCCACCTGATGTGGGTCTTCCACCTGATGACGGACGCTTGTGTTGCGCCCGAAACGTCGTGATTTATTTTTTTACTTTTTTATTTATTTTATTTTATACGTGACTTTACCGAAAGAACCAAAGAGTATGAGCCATAACACCTTGCTGATCTCGTCAAGGAGCATAAATCATCATGCAAACTCCGGTCATCCTCGCAGCAGCGGCTTTTGGCCATCCATCGAACAAAGACGGTCACCGCATCGCGCGATTTCAGATGCGCTGCTGCGACCATCTGGAACGCTCTTTCTTCCGATATTAGGAAGCCACTGAACCTATGCACTTTTACATCTAGATTGAAAACTAATTTCTTTAGAACTGCTTTTTGTGTTTAGCTGTTTGTCCTTCACCCGCACCTCTGATTAGCACGGTTGGCTACGCACGGTGCGGAAGAAGTTCAACATACATCCACTTACATAGGGATGGATGTAAGCACAGTGCCGTACCGAACATTCTCAATATGTTATGCTCAAAACTTTTGACACAGTACTTATATATACCTCAGTAGAAACAAAAATACTGCAATTCTAAATACTGCAGTAACCTACATCATGCTTGACAAGTACAATAAACAAACATACGATACGTTTAATTTGAAATAAAGCGCAATAATAGATTACTAATTGGGGAGCGGTGTGGTAACGGTTTGCGCTCTGAGTCAGGCGAATGGAGTTTCAGTCTTGAGTGATATATTTAAACCGTTTCTGAGCACCCCACCTCTTTCACCAACCCACACTGACGAAGGGTGGAGAATTATGATCAGACAATCCCCCATCACCGGCATGGCATTGGGAGGCCTTCATCTAGCAGTGGATAGAAAATTACTGCGAATTATTATGAGCGTTACAGATACGTCTCAAATCTGTAAGGCTGTGTTTTAGGAAAAGTACACGAAAAGACGCGGTAAGGACATCCCGTCCCAGCAGACAGCTGCAGCGAAGCTTACAATTATTTCCGATGTTAATACGATGTATATGAGAACATAATTACATTTAATTACAAGACTAATTTGCTGCATTGGTTATAACTGAATACTTAGTATTCATTGCGCTTCATTACAGGTTGTGGCACATATTGTCATCAACACTTGGCGCTTTTATTTAATACTAAAGACAGAGAATACAATGAACATATTCTTACAAGGCATATGTGCTTTCTGTATGTTTTATTAGCGAAAACATGCTACTTGTGCTGCACTTACGTGAAGAATTATGTCAAAAGGAAAGCTGTGTTTCTCATGGGTCGAAGACGACGGAGCCGTTGTGTTAACACATTGCCTTGACATTTGATTCAGCCCCTTAAATCCCCCGCCGCCTCTGTCCACCCAGTCAGTGGTTTATAAATAGGCACGCCACAGTTAGTCCGATGGGTAGGTCGTGTGTCGTGGGGCAAAATGTAGGTATCCCCACCCATTTCTAGATGTCTGGTCAGCATAGAAGAGGGCTTTATTGGTCAAATACCACCCATAGGGGCTCTCGAGAACTCCTCCTAGTGGATGCCCTTCCGTCAATAGTGGCGTGAGCTAGCTGTTTCAGGGCTGCATCTGTAATTTTATCTTTCTATGAGCACAATATAAGGGTTTGATACACGCCTATCTCACGCAGTAAGTCTTCCTATTCTATTCTTGGTTCTTTCGGTAAAGTCACGTAGAAGGGAAACAATAAAATAATAAAAATATAAAACAATCATATTTTTATTATTTTATTGTTTCCCGTCTACGTGACTTTACCGAAAGAACCAAGTATATGAATCCCTGCAGTCACGAAAGCTTTAAATCAAAATTCTTCCTATCCTATTGAAGAAACCCCGCACATATTTGGCAAATAAGGCCACCAACTTATGGCTAAACACAAACTTCCCAACATATGAAGTAAACCAGGCAACAACATTCTTCTCCAGCTGAGATAGTCATATCCACGGCTATTTCAGACAGAATGTAGTCCCTCGTCTGTGACCAACTGGCACGGTTTTGGAAGCTCATCAGGCTGTGACCCGGGATGATGCTTGTATGGGTGAGCACCTTGCCCGCGCATGTCGTTAGACGCTGCGAGGCTACGTGGTGATCAGCAAGGAGCAGTGCATTGTTGTACTCTACTTATATGCTCTCACGTCCATGCCCCCCGCCGTCACCGATCCGCACTTGGAGGATGATCAAATAACACAGTCGTGGAGGGGTCCTTATCCAATGGTCAGAAAGACGCACATTTCAGCACGACGCACTCCCCAATGAGGGACTGACACATCGCCGATCCAGGTACTTATTTTGGGCCGAGTTGATCTATAGGAGAGCCACATCAGGCTCAGGTAACAGTTATTCCAGGCGCGAATGACCATTGCCAGGGCTCGCACCTGGATTGCTGGAGGTGTATATAGTAACTGAATTGCCCTGCGTTAGCATCTCACCTCGCAGTGTAAGATAAATTACAGCTTTTTCAAATGGCGCACTATATTAATGCACGCCATATTTATGAAGTTATCAAACCAATATTACATTCTCACAAATGTGCGTAATTGTATGTGCTGCACGTGTTGATATTCATGAATTAAAAATATACCCTGGCGGCAAAAGACAATGGATAGTATCGCGTAGTAAGGCGTCAGCCGCCATCTGCCGGATTCTATAAAAAACTGCACTTATGTAAAAGGATGATTGATGCGCTTTCGGCGGAGCTTCGCGATGTGCATTCAGTGCAACAACACCAGGACCAACGGACCATAGAGCTGGGCTCCGAAGAGGATGTGGCTGGGAGATAGGCGGACAGGTGGAGCCCATTTCATTCCTTACACCAGGGCACATGCCTATCTCTACCTCTCCGGGTGTTTATCAATCTTCCATTCAAAAGAAAATGCAATATTTACACATCGTTCTTAGTAGATGATGGGTATAATAATGAAAATGAAAGATGCATGACATCAATATATCACACCGAGTCAACAGGCCACGGTCTGTAGATGAGACTCGGAATATTGAAACCAGTTCAGAGTTGTCCTGCTGAAAGACACGCTGTTGAGTAGTATTGTACCAACGCCTCATTTAGTGATGGACTACCAAAGTGCCATTTTGTTCATATTCGGTCAAACAGACTCTTGTATGTTCATGTTTGCTTTATAAAGGAAACTTCAATGACAAAATTGCTGGCTTCTGTTTTCGTGAATAGGCGAGTTTCAGAGTAATAACAGACGCCAATGGGGATGTCTAGACAGCGAGCCATACGATTGTGGTAATTGAATCGATCCTCCGATTCAAATACCACAATAGTGTGACATCACTATACTTTTTTTAAAATAAAAGTTTCTGAGCACATGACAAACCGCCAAAAAACATCAAGCGGCCAGCAATAAAGAGCACTTTAAATAATGTTTTTACTAAAGTTATTTCATTACTAAAGTTAATAGCGTTCCTTGAATTGAGCAAGGTCATAAGAGCATGGGGGGTCGAGACGATAGGAGGGAATTCCAAAGTCGCAGAAGTATTGTGACCTGTGGCCAGAATATCTGGACTCGTCTTCATATAACAATGCATAGATTTCTGTTGATATGATTGTGGCTATGGTTGTACTTCATGAATCCCTAATCTCTGCCATTACATACAATGAAACAAGAAAATGTAAAAAATAAAAAAACAGCAATGCAATACAATACACTCTTAGACATTATTGTAATAAATAAATAAAAAGTCCATCCCATGTGTTCGTGAATTTTTAATATTTTTTTGGCAGGAAATGGCAAGAAATGAGTTTTCAAATTTGATTTTTTTTTCTGGGTTGGGACCACCCAGACCCCCTGGGAGATTTGGTCCCCCCCCCCAATCTTGACTCCATGGCTACGGCCTTGATTCACGGGAGCCGTAACCATGACAGTCGACATGGAAGAGTGATAAGGAGGCGACTGACCTTTTGTGAGCGAGTTACTGGAGTGAATGGGTGAGTGCTGGATAACTGCATGTAGAATGCATCAAGCCTTGTTGTTTTGATCGTCATCTCAAATGTTGTCAAGATTGTGGCCATATATATCAAACATCAGCTCTATGAGACAGCTGTAGACAGGCATGGATTTTCTGTTTGCACAGTCACATAGTCACTTTAAGATGTTTCTTGTTCGTGTTTTTGTTTATTGTTTGTTGTGGTTGCACCCGATTCAAGAGCCAAATGGCTCACAGGGCTATACCAAATATATAAACTGAAACTGAACTGAAAGGCAGGGGGCGCTCCTACACAAAATGCCGGATCTCGGTCAGATTTCAAGAGATAAGCAGAGGTTTGTACTTTAGATAAGAATACTGCTGATGAGTGTTGCACGTGTCCCAGATGGTGTAGAGTTGGGCTGTGAGGTGTCC